ATGTCGAGCTTGTCCTCCTGCCGACTGGTACGTATTAGACTAAAGAAAAAAGAAGTGTGCTTACTTATAAAGACTTGTTCGCAGAGTATACTTTCTCCCCAACAACGAGCAAAGTAAACTACACCAACAGGGTTTACATTACAACACTCATCCTCGGAAGAGGAGGGTGTTTAAAGTCGGGGCAGCGTGTATCTATCTGTTCCTATTTTTTCAAGCAAGCAGACACAATTAGCGTAAAAGTAGCCACAATTCATGTCCTTTAGTCCATGGGGATTCATCCCCAGTTAGATGCTCTTGCATTGTAGGACAATTATTTTACATGGTTCTCCTCCTCCTCCTCTTCCTTCCACTCTATTTTTTCTCCTCTTTTTAAAAAAATATCATTTTCCATAAAATGAGACGCCTTTCTGTATCTCCACGAAAGGGAATATTTTATACCACAAAATGCCGCTTTTAATAGGCTTCCGTATACCATAATTTTTGTCCTTCTCTTTACATTAGCAAGAAAAACAATTTTTACTCAACTCTATTCATGTAAAACCGAGCATGGATGGATGGATGGATGGAACAAAAGATCCAAGAGAAAGAATCACTTGGGTGGCATCGTCGTGTAGTGTGCACGTTGAGGAAAAAAAGTTCAATCTACTCCTTTCTCATTCATTACGTAATGTGTATTCAAGAAGAATGAATATTGAAAACAAATTAGATTTCAGAGGGAAAGTTTATCAAATCAACTTTATCTCATTTATATAAAAAACAAGAGAGAGAGAGAGAGATAAATACAACTTCAACTACCATTATGAAATGAAGCTCATGCACTCTGTTGTTCTGAACTCATTACATGTTCCATTGGAATTGGACAGGTCTTTTATGACTTGAGCGAACTACGTATATATAAATACACACGTACTAAAAGGTAGCTGGGTTTCTGTCAAATTAAAAATATAGAGACACTAGAAATATCAATATTGTGTTGTGCTAAAGCCAACTCCTGTCTGACTTTTGTTTGATAGATGAGCCCTATTCGAACACCTACTCATGCATTTTCCATGACTCATTGGCAACTGTGTGTGTGTGTGTGTACGACTGGGGCAGTGTTTGTTGGTGGTATTTAAGAATTCAATTTATTTTCTATTCAATCTAATATTCCGTCGGAATTGTTGAGGTCTCACGACGAAATAATGTAGCATAACAACACGCCCTGACTTTTTCAAACACAACGGGAGGCATTTCATGGATAGATAGGTGGTGGTCAAACAGAGAGAGGTGCACAACAAGACGGCCGAATAACAACAGGCGGCTTCTGCTTACAACTTGGTAAAGTAGTAATAAGGATCGAGAGCTGTTTTCTCTCCGTATCAGATAAACATCACTGCTTGCTCCTGCTGCTGAGGTGGGTGGTGTATGAGTCGCCGTAAGTGAATGAATATGAGAGAAAGCGGAGAAAGATTCAGAATGAGACAAGCCAGACACATGCATAGCCAAGTAGCGGTGAGAGCTCAACTGCTAAATAATCAAAGTAGTCAAGTGAGGGGAGGACCTGCCTGCCTACATCCTTTGCTTCCTATATCACCAGCCTGGCCAGGGAGAGAGGAGAACACAAAGAAGTAAAAAAAAGTCTTAAGTCATGAGAAATGGAAAAACTAAACTAAACTAACTTACATACATATATTCTAAATCAAGGAATATTATATTGATGCGGAGGGAGAGAGAGAGAGAAAATAGGGAAATGAAAACAGGGCAAATTTTTTGTGTGGACTCCCATAAAACGTTTGAAGAATAATAAAAAAGAGTAACTCATTCGTACGAGAGGTCGGAGGAGAGAGGAAGAAGGGACATAAAGAGGAGAGAAGGAAAACAAAAGCAAACAGAAAGAAATATTTTGTGAAGCATAAGAAATGAGATGCGAGAATAAAGGTGAATTTTACGACAAAACTTACTAAAAGCAATTTCTGCTCGAAATCTCCATTGCATACATATTGCTCTCATCCGAGAGAGACCAAGCAGGCTGTAGGAGCAGAGTGAAACTAGTTAGTAAGTCACCACCAGCACAAAAACCACCCACCGACCTAAGTGGTGGTCGTCTTTTAGGTCTTTTACCATGGGGAGAAAGCGCTCTCTGATTTTTCACTATCAGTTATTTACCATTTCAATCCTTGGGATTTTTACCAGACCGCAACAATGTATTTACTGCCCATCGTATTACTCGTCTGGTTTTGGGGCTATGATATATAAGACAACCTGAAAAATGTAACAATCAAGGAAAAATAATAATTTCCATCGTTCGTTGAAAATATGTAAATAAACTATGTAATTAGCAGGCCATTCCAAGTAAATATGTGGCCAGCGGAAAAGTAGCCATTCATTTGCAAATATTATTCCTTTCCGTTATTGTAAACCAATATTTAGATAGCTTATATTGTGGATGGTTCCCATAAATTTTGGAATGCATGAAACGCTCCTATTATTATTTATTGTAAATTGGATGGAAATTGAATGCTGATTCTCAGATTATAATTTGCACCAATTGAAGTATTGCACATAAGAAGATTGAATTATTATTAATGTTCTGCTTGTTACAGTAATGAAATAAAACACATCTCATTATGTTCAGGTTGTATACTGTCCCATTATTCCCAAACAAAACTTTGTATTTACTTTATACACATTTTTACAATGGATAATCAATCAAATCAAACTGAACATTTAAATAATGGCTTCCTTGTGTAGATGAATTGGTAGCGTTGTACACATAATGAGTGATTGAATGGCTTCTAATCATATAATGGTAATGGTAGTGTACAGCAAACAGTAAAAAGAAGCCATCCATCCATGTTTGTTGGTATATCTATGTATGTATAAGTACACATAGCATATCTTTAATTTACTTTATGATGTAAGGATGCAACGGTAACAAAGGCGCAATTTAAGAAAAAAGTCTTATATAATTCCAACACTAACGAATTGATAGGCAAGCTGAAGAGAGATCCCCTCGGGTGTGAGGTGGCCTGGAGGAAGATGCATAAAAAAGTTCAAAACCAAAGTCATCAAGCCAATTACATTACATTTACTTAAATCTTCTCCTCCTCATTATAAATTCTTTATAGTTAACAATGCAATGAAATAAATTGCCTGAAGCAGCCTACTTTTGTACATCAAAATTATACCGAATTTCTTCAACTTAAGCCCCGGACAGAATAAAATATTTTGTTTCAACATTTAATAACATGCTCAGGGATTAAACTCTGACTATGCTACAAATGCATAATGCTGCGTTGCTTAAATGCAACAAGACCAAGTTCATAAATCTTCATTGTCGGAGTTCTATAGAGTTCTTCCACCTATGGATATAGCAGTTTAATATTAAATTACAAGTGTCAATCAATCCTCTGGTCATTAAACAGGAGGACAAAAGTGCAATGTGAGAGCTCAGATATTTTTGCATGGAGTCAAGCGAATGTCGTTTTTTTACCAATACATGCATACACGAAAACCAAGAACATTAATTCCGATAATTTATTATTCATGGTGTACATAAAATGCATGACCAGATCAGATCTCATATTTATGTGTGTATGTACATACCTAAAGATGTGTAGATTTGTTGGAATAAAAAAATCAAAAATCTCATATTAGTTTCAAAATTTTTATATTCTCAGCGAAGATGAAAACCACAATTTTAGCCTGATGTAGGGGCTCATGGAATTGTCACATCTGACCAGCCCTTACAATTAGATGATTTCAAAGATGAGCATGATTGGTTGACCGATGAGGGTAATTTATGTGAATGGGATAAACGGCACCTACTATAAATCTTTGTAAATGCATGAAATTTAGTATGAAGGTGCAAGTGCACATAAGCCAAGGGTACATATGAGCATGACGTTATAGCATATTTTTATGACTACTTATAAGTCTATGGTGATCCAAGATGTTTTTAAGTCGAATGGTTATAATTTTGTATGGCGAATATATGGGAAATTGCTCATTGCATTAAACATGTCACTTTGGAATTGCCAGAGATATCCACGCACTTTTAAATATTTTAAATAAGAGACGAAGAAATGGTTTATATCTGCTCTATCAATATAGGTTTTGGCATTGTACTGAATGTATAGTCCAGCAATCTGCACCATTCACCATTATACTTTTTTAGCAACGTGCGATGACATTCCTATAAATTTATGTTAATGTTAATATTTTATGCAAAGAAAGGATCTGTACAAAGCTGATTTTACGCGATAATAATAACCACACAAAGCTTTATTTTGGTCCCTTGATTTATAAAATTAATATTACAAATTGTTCTCACTTACCTAAAATATTTTTTAACAATTACTATTTTGTTGTTACAAATTAATCAGTTGTTTTGCGTAAATCCTTTGAGGCAGGCCATCTGCGAAACACACTTTGGAAGGCACTGTTTAAGGCAAATTGTTTACAACACTCTTAATTGTTTCCACTACTATTTAACATAATTTGAACATCATTGACTCACAAACAGCATATAAGTAAAATATAGTGTTTCCTGTTATTTCTTCACACTACTAGCGCAGTTATATTTTATTGCGATGGATAATTGTTACAAAATTCTATAAAATTACAAAGAGCGACATGAATAATTATAGACACATTCAAAAAGCCGTGGTTTTACAAAAACCGAAATGTTATTCAATGCAAAATAAGATGAGATGAAAAGTTGGGTTTTTGTGGCTGACTGACTCGCGCTGTTTCCCATCGTCTGCAATGTGTGAATTGTGAGTCACGGCCCCATGCTCAGTTTTTTTAAATATAAGAGAAAGTCACCTTTCTCCAACATTTTAATTTTACATGCTTTTTTAACCAGTTTTTTAGGACCAGTTCGTTTAAGCGAATTTAAGAAAGTATTAAATCATGCTAAACTCATAATACTTATAGAAAGAGAAGTTCATATATTTCATACAATAATTAAAATTATCGAATAGAAGAAGTACACACATAAATAGACGACCATTAACAATGTTTGGAAATGGAATGATAATTGTATTTGCAAAAATAATACTCCAAGCATAAAATATTTTTCATTTTATACTAATCCTGTTTTATCATAATTTTAAACTGCTAGAAATCTACAACCAATCATAATTCGTATTGAGACAACATTTTCTGGATATGGAAAAACTGACACTCTGATCATGTGTTGCACATCTTCCCCACGACAGTAGACTACTTCCTGACATTGCAGATCGCTGAAAAAGAAAGGAGCACAGGATTATTAGCAAGTGTGAATCGGAGACTAGCCTAATGTTACATGTATTCCATTCGTCTCACTAAACCCCTTTTTGAGATTTATTAGCTAAAGTTCCGTTATTACTGCAATAACGGAATGCAATTAGCTACTTTAGCTAATTATTTACGACAATATTGTCAAAATTGCAGATTTACCGACAATATTATTCTAAAACATAGGCTCTATTAAATTACGAAATAAATGTACATAATCAAAAATGTGTCTCACCCCATGCAACTATTAAACAGATTCTTGGCCGTGGTTGACCGAGAATGACAATGAAATCCTTTAAAGTTATAACCAGCAGGTAGAGATTTCATTATTACGTCTTCAAAGAAATTATTAAAGTTTGAACCACCAGTAGACCCTTGTAATTCATAGGTTGCCAATTGCTGCCCCATTAATTTAGACGTGATTGCATCCCACCGGGTAGATAGTTCTTGTTGCTAAAAAATTTGCAGGAGTAGAATTACGTGGACGATAGCCTATTATGTTGTGCAATAATGATATTAATTAAATTATACATACCATTCTGGCTTCCTGAATCAATTCTTGTATCCCTAACTCCAGACGTGCTGTTATCAGTTCGCAATCCACACGTGCGGGGAGCAAAACGAACCGGTGCTGAGATTGATATGGGAATTTTGCAATCCTTTTCGGGGACATTGATTTCCATTTGGCAGGATTTAAAATGTTCCAATCCACCAAGGACACCGAGTCAGCAGACTATAAATATGAGTTCGGTTTGATAAATTGTTGACAATTTGTGTTGTGAGTAAATATGTACAATCATTATCTTATGCTATACACATCGTAAGATATAGTACCTGAATGTTACAATGGAAAGATTCATTGTTTAACAAGCATCCAATATGACTGAATTTTTGCTGCATGCATGATTTTGAAACATTTAATTTAGTTTCATTATCATTTTCCGAATTGGTTAACGTTACGGGGGTGAAACGTTTGGCTATATGAATGTGCATAAGGGATATTATTTTGATTTGTTTATAATGAACAGAATTCTTTAAATATTTTAAAGTGCTTAACATCATACAGGTTTTTGGGTCCCAAAACAATGGGTTGAAGGAATTGTCAAGTGTCACTACCCAAGAGATTGGATTTGCATTCTTTTCCGACCCCAAAGCAACAAACGCGTTCAGTCCAAATCCTAATAACAGGCTGCAAAGTAGGATACTCAAGTCTTCAGAAGTCTAAAAATACCAATGACGCATATTATTTTCTGAATTAAAATAAACATGTTGCAACATTAAGATAGTATATTGGTGTACCCCACACTTCGAAGCGATTGTCAGTTCTAAGCTTTGCAGATTTCGGATTGAGTCATTGTTGCTTGAATTTTGCAAATTTGTAAGCAAGGACACAAACCAGGCTGCGTGGAATGGGGTGAGAAATACCCTATCGGCGTTGTAGGGAAATTGTAAGAATGTTGAGATAGGTCTGTAATAAATTATTTGGTTTATTACGACGAATTGGCGATAACTGACGATGACAACCCATCGTACATATCTATGTATGTATGTGCCACCAAACTCACCGTGATGCTAATCTCTCGTCAAATGCCGACAATTTGACATGACGAAAAATATGACCTGGCCGTATGCTGAGGAAATCATTCATCCACTGCTTTGAAAACGTTACAAAATTTCGAACCGACTCTTCATGAATCCCTCTCTCCAATTGTAACTGTGTCATCATTGTCTTTTCCAAAATTTGTTCCGATGGACATGGAAGTATGGTAATTCTCATATTCAGAAGGCCAACAGGTACATTATTTTCCGAACCTTTCATACAACAGTGGACATTGTCATGGTATGGAATACGTAGGAAGAGGCATATCAAATGCATTTATTTCTGTTATGCAGCATAATGACTCACCAACTCCAAACAACTCAAGACTGAAAGACTCAAAGCCGTTATCAGTGAGAAGAACTGAACGCCAATCATGCACATTGAAGGAAATGATGACACCTCCTGAGATGGGACGATTCTGGTCTTCACGAATAATCAGTATTCGTAAAGGTTCCTTAACTGTCAAGAGTTGGCCCACCCCGCCTGCAAAGCAATTTGATTAAAGCAATCGTCCATAAAAAATTGATCCAAATCTGCCCCCAGACCAAGACATATCTACATATTAAGTATATACATGTGTATGTAGCAAAATGTAATTTAGTTCTAATTATTATTTATTAATTAAGAATAATAATTTCTCAATAACAAAAACTCATTCCTATATCTTTCAAATTGGAAAGAAACGCTATCTTATTTTTGTCGCTTGTCAAATAGAGCCGTAAATCTGATTGCTCGTCAAAACAAACAAATTTGCATCTGTATATTCTATTGGGAAACGAGCGACCACCTAATCTTGTGAAGAACGAATGTGTGTACGTATGTATATTATTCATGTCTCGTGCTGGTGCACATGGCCACCTATTGTGCATCTCTAATTACAATTTATTTATTTCTCACGAATTTTGGAAATTGATATTTTGTATAACAGTATGATATTTTGTAGGAAATATGGCCTGAATATTATCACAATTACTTTAATAAGCATGCATCTTGACGAGAAAAGAAACTTACTTTCAAATTGACCAACATCGATGATAAATTCCTCTTGAAAACTTGGATTACTTCGACAGTCCACAGGCTTAGTTTTGAATCTTTGAGATTTGAAGAACAGGTGAAGAACAAATCTTTTAGATTTGCAGGTGGTTGAATTTTTCTCGTGAGATAAATGATCCAGAAAGGCTTTTCCTCCCAGTGTTTCAACTTTTAAATAATATCGCTTTCCTAAAACACATATTCAGGAACTCTTGACATAAAATGCGTGAAATCAAATAAATTTGACGCGTCTATTTCAAACACCTGCCTCTATCATCATCTGCATAATTATTTCCGAATTCATCATCATCAACTCTCCGATTTTCTAACGACTCATTTTCATCAATGGTGCCTAATTTGTCAAACTGACTTCTCGTTAATTCAGATTTTGCTGGTAGTTCATTATTGAAAGTTTCTAGCACTGAGCTCATCAATCCTCGACTGTAGACTTCTTGTAGGACTTCCCCCGGGTCGATATTCCTTGGGTCGTCTTTAGATGAACAAATGTTGTCAACCATTCTCTTGATCACTAGATTCATCCCACTCTGACACAAATAAAATAATATAGACAATACTTGGTTATGAGAAAAAAGTGAAATATTTGCATGAACAAGTGTGAGCAAGTCGCAAACAGCGAAGATCACAGATCACACTATGAGGAGAGGAATTCGTCTCAATTTTGTGTGGCAACAAGTGAGATCATGGTGAGCCCAACAACTTGTGCGTAAAAATCGTTTGAGATTTTTGGTTTTTGATACTTAATTCCACATTTTATAGAGTTCGGGAGAAATACCCCTCTATGAAAGAATATTACGTATATTTTACAGTACCTGTTTTAATTTGTCCTGAACTTTTTTGCGGAGTTCATCGGAAATTTCGTTGACAGCACTCATTTTATTGTATGAAATATGAAACAATGCACACTCTACCTCTACATATGCAGTTTTGGATATGAACTTGTGTGCAAGTTCTTAAATGGAATAAATTGAAAATTAAGGCACAGTACGAAGAGATCAGTTGCTGTTCGCAGTGAATGGGCAACAATGGATCGATGAATTATCGACCAGTGCTTGGAATGTTTTGTTGTGACAATCACTAAAAATATGAGTACTGAACCCACCGTATACTGAACTATGTACATCTCGCTGCTCCAGCAACCAAGTTGAAGCTGAGGGGATTTAATAAATTATGCAATAATGATCACTTAATTATTATTAATTATTACTACTAAATTATTTATTAAATTAAATTTTGTATAAATGCTCATTTGTATAAGGACTTCCACTTTAACGAGACTAGTTTAAATAATATTACTCGTTCTACTATATCAATGGATATCTACACTAACTCTATGATGCAATGCATGGTAGCCATATTTTATTTATTCGAGACTTTGTTTTGGTAGCTGGAAAGTAGTAGACTTTGCAGAGAAAGTTGAATCGTAATGGATGGTTCGTGTTGTTATCTTAGGAAAACCGGTAACTTGAGATCTGATTTTGTTCCAACGTCTCTTTTGTTTAACTACAATTTTGTGTCGTTTAAAAATTTCGATTAATAAAACTGCAGAGGACAGACATACTCCAAGACCAAGAATAAAGAAACCACCGTATAGATTTGCCAATTTCATGGGTTTGGGGCCAGTGTCATCGTTGTTCTGGTAGTTTGCATTGAGATTGAAAGTATCATCGGTTTCATTGGACGCTTGTGCAAAGGCTCGTGACACTTTTGCAAATGCCACTTGGTAATCGTAAAGATACTTGTCGGCCAAACCCATTTCGTGAATTCTATAACTCATTTCATCAAAATTCCGTTTCAGTGGGGAATGTTTTGCTACAGACCATGCCGATCCGACAGGAGGGGTCACAAAGTCAGAAACATGAAATTGTGTCTTAAGTTTCCAGTATCGCACTTTAATAAACAGGGAATTTTTACAATTTTGATTACTTTGCATACTGTTCATAATCTCTCTGACTATCAAGTCAATAATCCTTCTCCATTAAAAACTTACCTTCAATCATGAATTCTATGTACGCTTTGTATATGATGCAGGTAAACTTGGTGTGAAATGTTTTATCCAAACAAGAATATTTGTCGGTATAGATTTCCATCCTTTCTCCAATATTGCGTATGTACGCTAGAGGTGATTGTGTTATAAAGAGCAGAGCAATTCCTCCAAGCCTATCATTATTGATAGCAATAAGTAATGTGGTTATACAACTTGATTATAATTTGATTATCGCTAAATTCAAATTAAGCGACTAGAAATCAAGGCATATTATTTGTTTAAAATATCAATATTTCTCACTTACGATTTCATTCCCCAAGTATAATCGCTAATTGCAAGTTCTTGGAAAGAACTCGGTGGGGTTTCAATAGTTGGAGATATCAGAAAAGAAAACAGTTTTGAACGATAGGCGCAAGTAATAATTATGGCAAACATCATCCAAAAAGTTGCAATAAGTCTGGATGGCATTGTGTTATAGTCGATTGGAACGCCTGTAGAAGCAATTTAATGCGATTTGCTTTCACTTTAGGGATATCTTTAACTTGGGATTACTAGGCATAGGTTTGTTTGAGAGCTTACTTTGTTCCAAAAGTGATCCTACGGTCATATAGAATGCCAGAAATCCTGTCATAATTTCTGACTTAATTTGTTGCCACAAAAGTAATTTTGATTTCCATTTTTTTCGTGCAGGAACTTCCACAATCAGAGATCGGTTGTGCAGAAATTGATACACGCACAGTGTTAGCAATGTCGTTCCAATGAGTGCTAACCATGTGGATGTTTTAAAGGGGTAGAAAATTGATTGCCATTCCAAAAACGGAATAGGTTTTGTAGAGACCAGAACCAGAAATGCGTAAAAAACGGACACTGTGAAATCAGCAACATCTCGTCGCTCGTAAGCCACGGCCACAGTGAGACCAATATCGGCTCTACCATACAGAATTTCTCCCATGACGCCATTCCATGTCCCATTGGGTAGCCTGGACCCAGTTGATCCTCCCGGAACTGGGTACAAGTAGCAGGTGAAGTTGTATTTCCCCGCAATCCCGTAAAGGATGTGCTTCTGCTGACCCTGAATGTCGTTAATGTTTGGATTGGTTTTCGATGGGGTTATCAGAACTAGTGGCGGTGCTGGTGGAGCTGTGACCCTAAGGGTGTGACCTTGAAAGTTTTTGGTTACATCAGGGAAAATGTCACTTATTGCCACTATCTCGCTTGCCATTCTATACACTGCATTTTTCGTGGTGACAACGGCAGATTCCCCATTATTGCAGTAATAACAAAAGTGGTGAAAAGTCAATCCAATATTTTGTGATAAGTTTTCATCCAATTCAAAGAAATCCAGAGGGACAATATCCGGCCAGGCTCGATGTGGATAGCTTTTTAGTCTCGGGTCAAGCAGGAACTTTCTGACCTCTTCGAAACGGAGATACTCGTTGACAAAAATGTACGAGTCCTTTGCCCGTCTTTGTGACTCCGACGCCAAGAATATTTCGAGGATTCCACCATTGTTCTCGTCCCTTCCGTCCAGATGAACTTCATAAACTATGCATTGCTTGCCAAACTTGACGAGAGGGCTATGCTCGTGCGTGTATAATTGTTGAGTAGTGCTAGGGGACGCTAATTGCATGGCTGGTATTTGCCTAATTAATTAATTATGTATACATGTGTAATTGATAACTGCTAGTGAAATAAAACGACTCTAAAATCAACGTTTATTACCAGTTAAATGAAACATCCCTTGGAGTTTCTGGGTGAATCTGAATCCCATAACAATCAGAAAAGTGTAAATTGACAATCTTCTTAATAAATTCTGACAACTCGACATGCTTTCGAAGGTTTGTATTCATATTACATGCCGAATAGTCTCGAGAATTACAAATTGTAGCCGATATAATTTCTCCACAAAATAGTTTGAAAAAATACAGCACAAATACTTTACAATTATGTGTAAACTTCATTGTGGAATATCCTTTGTTACATTTCCGTAGACAACGGTATATGCGACAAAGAGATAAACGATAGGAATGAAGATTCACATTCAGGTGTCTATTTTATACCTTTCCAAATATGCAAGTATGTCGCGTGTACATAATTACTTGATTTTTAGATGAGGTGCATGTCAACGTCGCCGGGTATACATATCTATTTATAATAACTCGGTTATCAGTTACAATGTCCACCGAAAAATGCTGGAGACAATCAAATTCATAAAACATGAGTCTTGAGTGTCATGTCGCATGAATGTCGTTATTTGTATTACATCGGTGGTTAAATATAAGCATCTATTATCATTTTACCATGTTTTTTCTATTCTTTCTGGCGTTTCTTGGAAAATTGATTCATAGCCCAATACATACATAGGCGAGGCCTGTGCAGATGTCATAGAAAATCCAGCAGCGCGAGCTTGGCTTGTGCGGCGTAAAGGAGAATAAACGAATGTTGCATAAATTTTAATCGTAAAATTAAAAATTATTACAAGTTAAAATTTGACCCTCCAAAATAATTGGGCAGAACGTGAAATATGCCTTACGCTAATCAGCCGTCGGTCTTCATTCGGGAGTTAACCCAGGAAAATGTCAAATTCCACATTGAAGATACTGATCTCAGGTAAATTTCAAATTTAGCCAGGTAATTCGTAAGATAAAACCTGTGCACCTTTGAACATTGAAGGAGGTTAATATTATTTCATTGTTTTTAGTGTGGCGAACAGCATTCGCCGAGTTATGATTGCAGAAACGGTAAGGCACAAAAAAATTGACACGCTGGTTTACGTTCTGTTCTTAAAATATTTATGTATGGTTTGAACTTGTAATTTTTAGCCCACAATGGCAATTGATTGGGTTCAATTTGAGGCTAACTCTACAGTGTTGAGTGACGAATTTATTGCGCATCGAATTGGAATGATTCCATTGACCTCGGATGAAGTAATTGAAAATATGAGATATTCCAGGGTAAGTTATAATAAAGATAATTTCTAGAAATTATTTAATCAACTAATAATAGAATGACTAATAATCACGAGTGTATTACAGGAGTGTGACTGTGAAGATTTTTGTGTTCAGTGCAGCGTTGAGTTTGAATTGGATGTTAAATGTCAGGATGACCAGACACGTCACGTCACTTCCGCCGATTTAAAAACATCAGATCCACGAGTCGTTCCTATAACTTCAAAAGGGAGGGACGAGGAAGCTTCCGAATATGAGCAACAAGAAGGTATATTATTTTTATTGCAATATCTCGGGTTAATTCGTGTAACAAGTTTCATTTACACACCTAGGCCTTTAACAAGCTCCATTGACATGTACATGTATTTAAATGTGTAAATTACAGATATTCTGATTATAAAATTGCGGAAGGGACAAGAGCTTAAGTTGAAAGCTTATGCAAAGAAAGGGTTCGGCAAGGAACATGCCAAATGGAATCCTACAGCTGGAGTTTCATTTGAATACGACCCAGACAACGCACTCCGTCATACTTTGTATCCTAAGCCGGAAGAATGGCCCAAAAGTGAATACACGGAACTTGATGATGATAACCGTAAGCTAACTCTATAAAGTGCTTGTAATCCATAAAAGTTAAGAAATTCAAATAATATTTTTAATACTATTTTGTCAACTATGCTCAGATGAAGCTCCTTACAGTTGGGAGGCAAAGGCGAACAAATTCTTCTATAATGTCGAGGCTAGCGGAGCACTCAAGCCAGATAACATTGTTTTGATGGGGATTTCAGCTTTAAAAAAAAAGTTGTCGGATTTACAAACACAACTATCCACGGAAATGCACGGGGATATAATAGCCCACTAGTTTCTTATCTGTATCAAGTTTCTTTTAAATCTTTATTACAAAAATAACAAATTTGACGCTGGTTGGTATATATTTATGTCAGTTAAAGACAGAATAAATATTCTTAATTTTTATAGTTTAATAAAAACTTAAGTAAAAGTTAAATTTCATTCCAAATTATTATTCTTTTCATGATTCTTGATCCTTTTCATTATCTTGATGCTTTTGAGAAACAGGATTAAAATAGCGATTTCCAAACTTTTTACAGTCATTTTCCGTACAAACCCATACCCCGCGACGACATGAACAAATGTTGCAGTCCTTACTTTTGACGTCTTCCTCTGTCTGACATGACTCTGTATTTGGATGTTACAATATTATAATTTATGTTCGTAATACACGTTAGGAAATATCAATGTTTTTTGTCATTACCTTGGACAGTTTCAGGTTTTGGTGGAGCCGGAGTTGACGGACAAGTGAAATCTGAACAAGCCCAAGAATTCATGTGGCAAACGCATTGATTACATCCGATTGGTTTCGCTTCTCCTTCCATGCAATCCTCTATAAAGAAAATATCTTAATTCTGTTTTTTTTATCGTACATATATGTACCTCAAGTGAGAAAAGTTTAATTATCTAACCATCAATATTGGCATGTTCTTTAAGGGTCCCGACTGAGTTCAGAAATGTGTCCCCACTATAGCTTGCCTTTTTTTATAAAATAAAATACATGAGGGAAAATATTCACTTTATACATAGTTTCTTTAAATATGTTTTACTTTTTCTCGCAGTGTAAGTGCAATGCAGGACATTTTTGTGCATGCCCATTTTCCTATAGCACATACACATTGGTTGCAATCGACGGGTTTGGTTCTGCCGTCAATGCACTGGGAACTATCGACTTCGGAAATTATAAAAGTCGTAGTGGAATTTGCAGTTGATCCAGTTTCAAGATCCGTAGAATTTCCGACCTGTTGTACTTTTTGGGCAGCCGCAGCGGCATCCCCTTTAACAGAATGGTACTTGATAATGGCCCCCTTCCGCTTAGAGCTTCCCTTTTCAGTGGGTGGAAGTGGTCGCTCTGGTTCATTACATGCTCGTTTTGAGCAGAAATATTTTCCATCGCTGCAGACGCACGTGTTGCAAACCACTTTCATAACATCCCCCTCGGAACAGTCTGAATTGAAGATCCATTAAAGTTAAGTATTGGATATTCGGTGTACTTCGAAATAATTAGCTTTTACGTTACCATCAATGTCATCCATGTCGTCCCCGTACAAATCAGACTTTGGCATGGACTCTACATCAGGACTGCCCTTGATCCCAAAGGGCGAAATAGTTGTCCCATCGAGTTCATCGACATCAGGTTTCGGCTGCTCAAATGCAATGTGCGGAGCATTTTTTTGTTGTAACCGTTGCAAATCCTCATCTAGCATAGTCATGCATTATATGATTTGCAAGTTAAGTTAGCACAAATGTACTCAGTTAAGTGTTTCATAAGTACCCTTGACCACTGGAGTATCCAATCGAACTGGTTCTACTTCGTCAAATTCCAGAGATTCAGAATCAGTCACCCTTGGCTGGTCCTTGTAGAACTTCATCACCCCTTTCAGAGTTCGGGACGGGTCGTTGTGCAAGTTATCCTTTGATACGAATCGTCCTACCAATACATTGATGACAATCTTTTTATACCTTTATAATAAAGCATAATTTGTGGTTCAGAATTATTACAAATTATTTACCATATGCAAATGTTACGACGTTAACGATCAAAACTAATGCAATAAACTTCATATTGATTCGGAGCACTGTGAAACCCCACAAATAACAAATTAAAAAGGGCTGTTCCTTGTTACTCCCCCACTGTTGAGACGAAGCCTTCTAATCTGTTATGCAAAAGTATATATTGCAACAAGGCACTTGACCCTCGGTAGATGTAAACTACGAAATAGTGGTACATCCGCAGTTACCAGTTTTTCTGCATTCTAGGCGTCTCAGCACTGTTGTTGGATTCATTCAACTATTCGGTTATTTGATTCGACGACTTAAAGTTAAACCTGTTTCAAATGAACTACTTGAAAATCATCTTGATTGGACGAGGTATGATTTATTTACCATTATGCATCCTAAGATAAAAAATTGTGCCGTTGTTTTGTTAAATTGGCCTTCATGCTTAAAAATTACAACAAAATAGGTCTGAAATGCTTCTCGGACAAATCGGGCTATATTTGTCTCATTGTCCCATTTTGCCTCGTCAAGGAATCGTCTCACTTTGTTCTCTACTTTACATTTGCATCATTAATAATGTCACTTTCTGAGATGTGCTGCAAGTTAGCCGTGGCCGAGATGCAATTTAGCCGTAGCCGTGGCCGATGCAAGTTAGCCGTGGCCGTGGCCGAGATGCAAGACAGTCGTGGCCGAGCCGAACAATCTCACATCACCCCAAAAATTTGACTTTGCCCAAAAAATTTCATTTTACCCCAAAAATTTCACTTTACCCCAAAAATTTCATTTTACCCCAAAAATTTCATTTTACCCCAAAAATTTCACTTTACCCCAAAAATTTCACTTTACCCCAAAAATTTCATTTTACCCCAAAAATTTCACTTTACCCCAAAAATTTCATTTTACCCCAAAAATTTCATTTTACCCCAAAAATTTCATTTTACCCCAAAAATTTCATTTTACCCCCAAAATTACATTTTGACCCAAAAAATGAATTTACGTATGGCTGGATAATTAACAAGTTTGTTGTTACCAAGTAAAAACAAGTCATTGAAAACCAAGTTATACATTCAGGTTCATTTCCGATATGCCATCCCAACTAAATTACCAAATGATTTTTTTAATTGAATAAATTAAATGCGTATATAAACTTATTTTCAACAGGTTTATAAAAGTATTTAATGATATGATTTATGTAATAACCTAATTTATTAAAAAAAATATCTTCGGAAAACAACTGGAGGAAAGGATGCAAAGTGCATCAATAGTGCAGATTAGCAGAGATACAGAGCATTAAAATTTTTATAAAAAGTTTTCAAAATCATAGGGTTGCCATCCGATCGGATAGGATAGGATAGGATAAAAATTATTTTTATCCGATCGGATAAGTCCATTGTTCGGATAATCCGAGTCGGATAATTTCAGAAATATTATGTTAAAAACCTACTCCATGCAACTTTGCGGGGCCTTTTAAGATAGCATTAATACCACCTTGGTAGTTAATGGCAACACATTTGGATGGGAAAGACCCCCACCGGCCAACTACTTGGCCGATCATGTCCATCTCCGAACTCATCCTTACTTTTGACCCGAAGATGAAGTGTACAAAATTTTAAGTCGATAGCTTTTGTTTAAAGAGAGTTATCGTGCGCACAGACGGACGCACAGACGGACGGACAGACAGACATCTGGGTAAATCTATAAGGCCATCTTAAAAGGCCTAAAACATGTTTTTTAGAAATATTATATTATGTCGGATATCCTACGGATATCGGATAGGATAATCAAAGTAATTAGCAAAATAAATACAAAAATTTTAAATAATGCCAACAATTGTCGGGAATTCAATCTTTGCTCTCTTAAAATTATGGTGCACCGACCACTGAACTAATAAGGGAACTGTGGGAATTAGAAATGATACATATGTATGTATTTGACAGATGTCTTTCTGTAAGTCTCCACTTTTCTTTATTAGTTTGAATATGTATGATATGCAGTATGTAATCAGTTCAATTTATCACAATGTCAATATTCAAATTAAGTACTTTAAAGCATTCACAGAGCTAGATTGATTCTCTAAGCAATGGGAAAATAACCTTATATATTACCACAAAGGGAACCGTTTTGTGGCTGGCATGGTATAACCGAATAGCAAGAAATTTTTCTCGAAATTGTGGAAATAAATTTTTACCAGAGTTTGGAAACAATTATTATCGTTGCAGCAGAGCCAAATATAATTTGGGTATAATATGTTACCCTCCTTGCGAGTGTGAATTATCTATTCACTGCCGAATGCCTTAAAAATTTCGCATTAGTTATCTTTTAACCACAAATTCCATTCAAACATAATTTTTCAATAAGGCCGGCGACGACTTATCCACCTACCACGACCACAATGTCAATAACCTTCTATTTTCCACCTGATTCATTTTCATTGTTTTACTAAGAGAATGAAATTCTAATAATTTTACATCTACTAACTTTACTAAGATTTGCCTGGAATTACTTAAATATATTCAAGGATTTAAATGAAATACAATTGTAGGTGGAATACATATTTACTTTACTCTCGCACATACAACGTGTCCAAATTACACTTAACTCGTCATTTTTAAATTATCCGATATCCATCGGATATCCGACGGACAACATCGGATAATCCGAGTCGGATAATTTGAAAAAATTATCCTATCCGACGGATATCCGAATCGTATTGTTCCTTATCCTATCCGACAATATCTGATACTATCCGATCGGATAGGATAATCTCGGATAAAAACGGCAACCCTACAAAATCATGCAAAAAGGTTCCGCTCCAATTCAAAATTTTTGGAACTCAATTGCTTTCTCGGTTTAGAATTGAACGTGGACAACAAACAATTACTTCATACTTCTACATTTTCCTCTAAACTTCTTTCTGTTTTGACTCTATGAGTAAATTAGGAGTATTAAACTCTGAAATTTCATGCACAAATTGTTGTTCAATCGATTCTATTCAATGTCTACACTGAACTAAATTTCGTGTTTTACTCCAGTTAGCAGAATTTGGTGAATGAACTGAGATGCAAGAATACACTCGATATTTTAAAGTATTAAAAACGGTGGCAACTTGCAGGGAGAAACTTGTAAAACAGATCAAGAAAAGAACTAGAAGTGTTGCTGCTATGATAAAATGTGGGAAATGTTACAATTTGATTCAATTTTGATGATTTGGAAAATGTATTTCCAATTGTTAAGATCGCCAATCACAAAAATCTGCTACATTGTATTTTCTTCTTCAGATTTCGCATTAAATTCCACCAAAAGACTGCACCTACTTCCAAGCTGATTATTTTTATTATTATTATATTGAACGTTTCCGAAAGCTTAGATTATTTGGATTTAGTCAGCGCCAGAATTTCTCAATTGGTCGCAGTTGAGAAACATTTGATGGGTTTTCATTCTTTGGTACAAATTCAATTTTTTGTAGGTACTCCGTGACCTATTTGGCTAATGGGACGTTGCGAGGTCAGGTCAAAACAAAACTTTATCCTTTCATGATATTTGCTAACACAAAAAATACGAGGTGGTCGCTCTATTTCGTGCGTTGTTAAATTAACCAACGAATTCCAATCCCCCTTGAATGCATGATTTAAGATAAACATCTCGGTTGATAGTGCCTTCCAAAATGACTGGATCTGAAACATAACCAGTGCTAGAGATGCATTGCCAAATTAAATAGTTTTGGGGGAATTTGTCCTAGGAATATTTTTAACCAACAGAAGGTCTATATTAAATAATAAAGTAGATGGCTGGACAGGCACCAATGGTGTCACTGATTGGTTATTTTAAGTGTCCCATAACGTCTGACAGTGTACTATTCTTGGAAATAACTAGAAAATCGCTTTAAGTTCCTACCACTACTCTTTCGAGTGTGGGTGGTCATGTCCAAAAATGCAAATTGTGACGGATTTACACATTTTGTGAGAATATTTCGATTATGACTATAATCTTAATTTTCCTCATGTTTGGGGTGTGGTCCAGTGGGGCTCCATTCCGCTTTTCTGCCAAAAGTTCATGTACATTACAAGATATTTAAAATTTAATAAAATCCCATTTCTTCAGAACGTCGGACATGCCAGCGTATACATTACTACGTAATTGTTGTTTTCCAAATTATTTAAAATGGAATTATTTCGATTTGGCTCCACAGTTTTAAGCATGAAACGAAGTAATGTTAAATAAACCGTTACAACGAATGTAACCAAAGGGTAAAAGAAGTGTGTTATCCGTCATACAGAACACCGTACTTTGCATGCTCTCTCAAAATCTGTTAAAATTTGCATGTCTGATGTGTTTTCAACAATTCTGACAAATGTATCAAATTTAACTGTTGATGACCTTTCTGTTGCGTACAAAGTCACCTTTCTTGACCTATTAGGTCAAAATGGAGGTCACCATTGAATTCGTGGTTTTAGATCAAACTGATGTATGTGTCAAATCAAATTTAACAGTTTATGACCAAGGCATAGTTTCAAGGCATAGTTTTCTTGCTTTTTATCAAATATTATATCTCGATTGATAAGTCCAAAAATATCCAGGATATTTTATCCTTTCATAATTCCGTCATAACGACGAACGATGCTACTAATAATTGTCGCATAAACTGGATTGAACACCGTCTTCTCATACACCTTTTCGCACACCTCCAGGTTTTTGTCGATGGCCAATTCATCAAAATGAGTTCATTGAAATCGTCTTATTTGCGTCTGGAAGTCACATGAAAGACCCCAGGTTGTCTACATTTGCTTCGCCATCGATTCAACGGTTTCATAATTTACCTTTAATTCGATCAGCTCAGATCTGCATATATTTAAAACCTTTGGCGCAAAACGCAAAATTTTGATCTTTGGACGCCAATAACTTTGCACTGGAGCGTCTTACGTAGGAAAAATTTATACGATTTCGGATCAGCTCGTAAAGATCTATCGAATGCAATAGTTTTCAAAGCCGCACCCACTCATGTGGGGAAAACTTCTCCCTCAGGGGGTGTTGTCCCCCTGAGATGATACAGTGTGTATTATTAGTCCTCAATCTACCTAATAGGCATAAATACTTCAAAAAAATTCGTTAAAAAATTTATGCCAAATCCGACCATAAGGCCACCGCATTGTGAACTGCATGCACCACTTATTTAACAAGTCTATATAGAAGTATCTAATACACAGTCTGGTATTTTGTCTCCATTCGATGGAAGTGATATACATACATACATACATGTATGTATAAGCACAACT